TAACAGCACCTTTCAAGGCAAGTGAAATTGCCGACCTAGAAAATGTACAGAGAACTTCACGGCGCGCATAACGGAGATAAAAACACCCAATTATTGGGAGCGCTTGAGGTTCCTAAACCTGTATTCCCTGGAACGCAGGAGGGAGAGATACATGTTTTATATACACCTGGAAAATCCTAGAGGGACTAGTACCGAACTTGCCCCACGAAATCACCCACAAACGAAAGCAAAAGCTTGGCAGACGATGCCCCTCCCCCCCAATGAAAAGCAGGGGTGTCACTAGCACGTTAAGAGACCATACAATAAGTGTCAGGGGCCCGAGACTGTTCAACTGCCTCCCAGCACACATAAGGGGGATTACCAACAGACCCCTGGCAGTCTTCAAGCTGGCACTGGACAAGCACCTAAAGTCAGTTCCGGATCAGCCGGGCTGGGGCTCGTATGTTGGTTTGCGTGCAGCCAGCAGCAACAGCCTGGTTGATCAGGCTCTGATCCACCAGGAGGCCTGGTCTCAGACCGGGCCGCGGGGGCGTTGACCCCCGGAACTCTCTCCAGGTAAACTCCAGGCATATGGGAATCTTTATTCAGGAAACGTTTCGCCACACAGTGGCTTCATCAGTCCAATACAAAGATTCCCATATGCTGCATAAGTGTCTCAATCTTCAACTTGTCGGTTTTTCAAACCATTCATCACAATTTCCAGGAGTTGGTGGTCGGCTGAGCTCTTTCTGAGGTCCTGCCGCTGGAAGTGCGCAGATGTTACATGGTTAGACAAGAGTGAGGGAACCAGTATACATAGGCGAGGGAGACAGGGAAGGGACCACGAGAGGGAGAAGAGGAAGTAGTGGCAGAATTGGTAGTGGATGTATTGGTAAAGATAGAAGTGGGGTCAGTTTAAGGACAAGAAAAAGGAGCACTGCAGGTGAGCTTAGGACTCACACAGAGCACTGCAGGAGAGCTAAGGACCCACACAGAGCACTGAAGAAGAGCTAAGGACCCACACAGAGCACTGCAGGAGAGCTAAGGACCCACAGAGAGCACTGCAGGAGAGCTAAGGACCCACACAGAGCACTGCAGGAGAGCTAAGGACCCACGCAGAGCACTGCAGGGGAGCTAAGGACCCAGAAGGAGCACTGCAGGTGAGCTAATGACCCACAAGGAGCACTATTGGAGAGCTAAGGGACCGCAAGGGGTAGGACCAAAAACACGGGAGGGGGAACTGAAGGACAGAACACGAACAGAAGAAATGAAAACAAAGAAAGAAAAGGAAAAAAAATAGGAAATGAGAAGAGGTAGGGAGAAGAAGAGAAGAAAAGACCAGGTCAAGACACGAGTGTTCTGAAGATTGGAGAATTTGACAATGTAATGAGAAAGGAAGACATCTACATAGACAAACCCAAGACTAAGATTCATACAAGGAAACTTGTATATAAGAGATGACTCAACAAGACAGTGACTGTGAAGGCTGGAAGTAGTGTAGACAGTTTTAGCAGACGACCAGTTAATAGGATGACTGTTATCTCTAACATGACAGAAAAGAACATTATTAGTGTCAACAAACCGAACACTGTGTTTTTTGAGTCGACAGAAAGAGAGCTACCAGTTTCCCCGACGTATTGAAGAGAACAAGAGAAACATGGACTAGAGTAGACACCAGGGACATCTAGTAGACACCAGGGACATCTAGTAGACACCAGGGACATCTATACCAGGAGGAGAGGTACCAACTAGGCTACTGCAAAGTATGTTAATCTGGCGACAAGTTTGATGTCTAGGGAACAGAGAGAGTTGTTAAGATTTGAGAAAGTGGAAATACTCAAATATGGAAGTATAAGGAAGGTAGAAAATAGGAGATTTACACAGTAGTAGAGAGTCTGGAAGAGAAGAAAGTCCATCTAGCAGGTGAGAAGACAGCGTTCATGAAATGGGAAGGGTAGCCAAGACCAGAGAACGAATTACGATTCAAGGAACTGTGGGTCACAAATGCGGAGGTCACGTAGGACACAGAGGAAACGGAGGACACAGAGGACACGGAGGACACGGAAGACACAGAGGACACGGAGGACACAGAGGACACAGAGGACACAGAGGACACAGAGGTCACGGAGGACACAGAGGACACGGAGGACACGGAGAAAGAGAGAAATAAGAACACTTTTCTGGACAGAGTAAACATGATGAGAAAAGCAGTCAATATACTACCCACTGCACATAGGCTTATGATAAATCTCATTCAGAAATCGTTCTCGTTTCTCTACACTGCCATCTTCAGAACGACAGTCATCTCCCACTTCGACGTCAGGGGAAAGAGAGAGGACACATCTGAGCTCCTTGGAGATCAATAGGAGAGCGTAGAGAGAGCTGCAGAGAGCTGGAGAGAGCCAACAGGAGGCCAACAGGGAGTCGAGTACATCTTTAAGGTCGACCCTGTTATTTCTGTTGACCTACGTGTAGGGGAGTGGTGTGTGTGTGTAAGGTGACTAACACCCAGGTACCTACT